CGAAGGATGGCGTGCGACCCTGGAGGAGGCAGCGGCGCCCGAGCAGGGTGGAGGGAGCTGCGTGCTATGCTGCGGAGATCTGGAGGCCATGGCGGTGGGTCGCTGCGACCACCCGGTGTGCTACCGCTGCTCCACCAAGATGCGGGTGATGTACGAGCAGCGCTACTGCGCCGTGTGTCGCGAGGAGCTGCACCAGGTTGTCTTCGGGAAGAACCTCCCTGCCTTCGCCGCCATCCCCATCCACCAGCTGCACCACGACATAAAATATGACATCTACTTTATGGATGGCAAAGTCTACGCACTGTACACGCAGCTGCTGCAGCATGATTGCCCGCGGTGTCCCGAGCTGTCCTTCTGCGACTTCGGGGATCTGGAGCAGCACATGCGGAAGCAGCACGAGCTCTTCTGCTGCCGGATGTGCCTCGAGCACCTCCAAGTCTTCACGTACGAGCGCAAGTGGTACTCGCGCAAGGAACTGTTTCGGCACCGCCTGCACGGGGACCCCGGCGACACGTCACACCGCGGACACCCACTCTGTAAGTTCTGTGATGAGCGCTACCTGGACTCCGAGGAGCTGCTCAAGCACCTGCGCCGCGACCACTACTACTGCCACCTCTGCAACTCAGATGGGGCCCAGGACTACTTTAGTGACTATGCGTACTTGCGTGAACACTTCCGGGAGAAGCACTTCCTGTGCGAGGAGGGCAACTGCATCATGGAGCAGTTCAGCTTTGTCTTCCGCACGGTAATCGACCTCCAGGTCCACAGGCTGGCATATCACAGCCGGAGCCGTGCCGAGGTCCGCCAGAACCGCCAGGTTGACCTGCAGTTCCACTTGGCGCCACGACATTACTCGCGCCGGTACTACAGGGTCTTCGGTGGTGACGACCATGAGGAAGTGGACAGGCCCAGCCGCCAGGGCCGAGGGGGCCGAACCGGTGCACGTGGAACCCAGCAAAGCCGTCGAGGAAGCTGGCGGTACAAAAGGGAAGAAGAGGACCGAGAGGTGGCAGCTGCCATCCGGGCCTCCCTGGCTACACAGCAGCAGGAGGAGACTCCCAAGAGCGAGGAACGAGAGGAAGGTAGCAGGCCCAAGAAAGAAGAGGCAGTGGCACAGGGGCCTGAGGAGCCCTGTGACCCCCAGCACCCAACCCAGTCTCCAGAGGAAGGCTCAGGCCCCAAGGAAACCTCGACAAATTGTCCTATGAGCCAGGAGACCTTTCCAGCAACGGACTCGGCCTCAGGGCCTGCCCTTCCCAGCACCCTCCCACCACCCACCCCAGAGCTCAAGGACGAAGAATTCCACGGCCTCTGTGCCCCCATTTACTCCTCCTACTCCACTGTGGTGGCCCTGGGCCCTGTGGGAGTTCCTGGCAGGAGTAGGAACACCTTCCTAGAGGAGGACTTCCCCGCCCTGGTGTCCTCGACGTCCAAGCCCAGCACTGTCCCCACCAACCTCATCTCTGCCTGGAACAGCAGCTGCAGTAAGAAGGTAGCACAACCTACCCCTGTGGCCCAGGCTTCCGGTGGGGGTGGCCAGCCTACCAGGAAGTCCTGGAAGGGGAACCGAGGTGGCAAGAAGGGTGGGCCGCCCCCCGTAGAGGAGGAGAAGGGCAGCCTGACTGTGCAGGAGCTGCAGAGCACATGCACTACAGCCTCTGTCTCCTCCCTGCTGGGGCCAGCCTCCACCCAGACCTCCAAGGTCGGCAAGAAGGTGGGCTCTGAGGACCCCAGCACTGCGTTATCCCAGCCACCACCCCCTAGCTGTCCCCCACAACCCCATGGCATTGAACAGGCCCCTGAGGCTCCTGCCAGCAAAGCCGAAGGGCCAGGCGCTGTCATCATCAGTGGATACACAGAGGGGGCAGCCCCCACTCGGAGTGCCCCCAAGGAACCCCCCGGGCTCCCAAGGCCCCTGGGGTCTCTCTCCTGCCCCATACCCCAGGAAGATTTCCCAGCGTTGTGTGGCCCCTGCCCACCCAGGATGCCCCCTCCCCCAGGGTTCAACACTGGGATGCTCCTGAAGGGCACACCGCCCCCACCCCCGCCAGGTCTGGTGCCCTCTGTCAGCAAGCCACCCCCTGGCTTCTCTGGCCTCCTGCCCAGCCCCCACCCAGCCTGCGGCCCCAACCCTACCACCACCACGAAAGCACCCAAGCTGCCGGCCATGCCACGGACCTACCTGGTCCCTGAGAACTTCCGGGAGCGGAACCTGCAGCTCATCCAGTCCATCAAGGACTGTCTGCAGAGCGACGAGGCCCGCTTCAGCAAGTTCAAGAGCCACTCGGGGGAGTTCAGGCAGGGCATGATCTCTGCAGCCCAGTATTACAAGGGTTGCCAAGATCTGCTTGGGGAGAATTTCCAGAAGATCTTTAATGAGCTGCTGGTGCTGCTGCCTGACACAGCCAAACAGCAGGAGCTGCTGTCTGCACACATGGACTTCCGCAGCCGCGAGAAGCCTCCCAGCACCAAGTCCAAGAATAATAAGAGCGCATGGCACACTAACACGCAGCTGGCAGGCCTGGACTGCTGCGTGTGTCCCACCTGCCAGCAAGTGCTTGCACACGGAGATGTCAGCAGCCACCAGGCACTGCACGCTGCCCAGGAGGATGAATTCCCCTCCCTGCAAGCCATTGCCAGGATCATCACGCTTCGGCCAGCACAGGCGTCCTTTCCCCACTCTTCCTCCTCCGGGCTGCCAGGCAACTAGGAGAGCCCCTGCTGAGGCTGCCTGCTCTGGCCTCTGGTTGGCCAAACCCACCAGGGAGTCACTGCAAAGGCCCACCTGCCCCATCAGCACACCGTCATGCAGAAGTTCCATCCTCTGCCCTAGTAGAGGGCTGGCCTCGGTTTGTATTCTTGTGCTTTTGGAAAGTGCTGGGGAGGGAAGGGCTGGGATGCTGGGACCTGTCCCTGCCATCAAAGCCAGAGGTCACAGTGGCCAGACTGGGGCCCTTGTGAATCTGCAGGCTGCAGCACCTGTGGCCCCAGAGCTGAACACTGTGGGTCCACTGGTGCTGGAGCCGGATGTCAAGTGTGTTGTGTAAACAGTTGGCTGTTTGTGATTCAAGAAAGTTCAGGATTTAAAGCAGACATGAAATTGTGCTACTTGAAGTTGAATCTTCTTATGAGACAAGCTGAATCTGGGATCTCAAGTTGCCTCTGACCTTTTATAAGACAGTTTATCTTCAAATAAATGTATTTTGCAATACTGCAAAATAAAATTAAAAAGATCTGAAATTAGCATCATAACCTTACACCTTAAGTAATTAGAAAAAGAAGAATAAACTAAACTCAACACCAGCAGAAAGAAGGAAATAATAAAGATTAGAGTGTGTCTTAGTCTGTTTGCTATAAAAGAATATCTGAGGTTGGGTAATTTATAAAGAAAAGAGATTTGTTTGTCTCATGGTTATGCAGACCACAAGAAGCATGGCACCAGCTTCTGCTTCTGGTGAAGGCTTCAGGCTCTTTACACACATGGTAGAAGGGGAAGGGGAGCCTGTGTGTACAGAGATCACATGGCAAGAGCAGAAGCAAGAGAGAGAAGGAGGTGCCAAACTCTTAAACAATCAGCTTCATGGGAACTAATAGAAATCTTACTCATCATCACAAGGACAGCACCAAGTCATTCATAAGGGATTTACCTACATGACATAAACACTTCCTATTAAGCCCCACTCTCAACATTGGGGATCAAATTTCACAAGAGATTTGAATGGGTCAAGTATCTAAACCATAGCAGAGTGGAAATAAATAGAGAATAAAAATAATAGAAAATCAACAAAACCAAAAATTGAATCCTTGAAGTGATTAACAAAATTGGCAAACTTTTAGCAAGGCTGTCAAAGAGAAATAAAATGGTAGATAGCTAAAATCTGAAATGAAAGTTGAAATATACTATTGACCTTACCAAATTAAGATGGTAAGAGGATACTCTAAACAGCTACAGGCCAACATATTAGATAACCTAGATGAACAGAGAGATTCCTAGAAACATACAAATCACCGAAACCAACACAAGAAAAAATCAGAAATCTGAGTAGGCCTAAGAAGCTAAGGTCAGCCTCAGTGACTCAACCTGTAATCCCAGCACTTTGGGAGGCCAAGTTGAGTGGATTGCCTGAGCCCACGGGTTCAAGACCAGCTTGGGCAACTTGGCGAGACCTCATCTCTATGATAAAATAAAATAAAAAATTAGCCAGGCGTGGTAGCGCCCACCTGTAGTTCTGGCTACTTGGAAGGCTGAGGCGGAAGGATCATTGGACCCCAGCAGGTGGACGCTGGGGTGGCCATGAGTGTGCCACTGCATTCCAGCCTAGGCAACAGAGTGAGACTCCAAAACACACACACACACAGCTAAGAATACAATCAGAAATCAAAATCTCACAACAAAGTCCTGGACCAGATGACTTCATTGGTGAGGTCTACCAAACATCTAAAGAATAATTAATACCAATCCTTCACACACTCTCTACTAAAAGTTGAAGAACTAGCGACACTCCTTCCCTCAGTCCATGAGGCCATTATTATTCTGATATCAACACGAAAAACACCACAATAAAAGAAAGCTGTGTTCTATACCAGAAAGAATTGAAAACAAGTACTGAACAAATACATGTACATGCATGTTCACAACAGCACAATTCACAATAGCTAAAAGGTAAAAACTCAATATCCATCAACAGATGAACAGATAAATTAAATGTTGTGTATCTATACAATAAGTTGTATTCCGTTGTAATAAAGAATGAAGTATTGGTACAACATGAATGGACCTTGATAGTGTTATACTAAGTGAAAAAAACAGAAACGTGACGTACTGTATGATCCACTTTATGAAATATCCGGAATAGGTAAATCCATTGAGACAGAAAGCAGATTGGTTGTTTCTTCGAGCTGGAAAAAGAAAAATTCTTAATTTCCTAGTAACTGCTTAATGGATACAGGGTTTCCTTTTGAAGTGATGAAAATGTTTTGGAACTAGATAGAGATGGTAGTTGCACAACATTGTAAATATACTAAATGCCATTGAATTGTTCACTTTAAAGTGGTTAATTTTTGGTTATGTTGTTTCACCTCAATAAAAGAAAACAAAAAATGCTTTCAGACAAGTACAAGCTTTTTTTTCCCAGCAGATGCACATTACAAGAAATATAAAAATGATACTTTGGACTGAAGAAAAATGATCACAGACGGAAGCCTGAAACTGAAGGAAGGAACAAAGAGAAGAGCACTAAGTGTTTAAAACAATCATAATGATAATGTATTTTTTATTGTAGTCAAATATACAAAACATGAAATCTACCTCCTGCAGAGTTTTAAACATACACAGAAATAAAATATGTAACAAATGTACAGAAGATAAGAGGTCAGCAGATTGGATGAAACTAATATGTTACATGTTCAGGAATTGGTAAAAGTATTAATATGGTTTGGAATAAGTCAAGGATGCCTTTTTTAATTCCTAAGATAACCAAATGGAGGATTATAAAATAATATATAACTAAAAAGTAATACAGAAAAATGGTGTAATAAAAATACTTGAATAATAAATACAAGTCAAAAAAGGAAAAACAACAGAAAAGACAAATAGAGAATATGCATCATGATGGTAGTTATAAAACGAAGTATATTCAATAATTACATGTAAATGAACTAAACACTCCAATTAAAACCCAAAGATCGTCAGACTGTTCTTTTATAGAAAACAAAATGCAGCTACATGCTACTTAAAAAAGATTTGCATCAAATAAAAGGATTCAGAAAAATTGAAAATAAAAAGGGCAGGAATATATATCATGTAACACTAGAAAAGAAAGCTGATGATTCAGCTACATTTGATGAAATCAACAGAACCCTGGTATCAAAACCTAATAAGGATATAACAAGAAAGGAAAATTTCAGGCCAATACCTCTCATGAACATAGATGCAAAAGTCCTAAAAAAATTAGCTAAATGAATCCAATAATATGTGAGATAAACAACGAATAAGTGAGGTTTATACTAGTAATTGAATCTTGATTTAACATTTTAGAGTCAATGTATTTTATTATGTTAGCTGAATAAAAAAGACAGTCGCCAATAGATGATGCAGAAATGGTATATGATAAAATTAAACATTCGTTTTTGATTTTTTTAAAAAACCAAACACACCAAAGTAGGAATAGAAAGCAAATTCTCTAATATGCGATATTTTTAAAAAGTAAACATTATTTATAATGGTGAAATATTAAACTCTTGAGATCAGAATCAACAAAAAAGACCACTAATCCCGCTTCTTTTCAAAACTATGATGGTAAACTTAGCTCAATAAGACAAGAAAAATAAATTTTAAAATATAAAGGCTTAAAAAAAGTAAACTTCATGCACAGATAACATAATTATGTATATAGAATATCCAAAAGAATCTACAAATTGTTAGATATATTTAAGTGTAAAAAAGTCTCTGGATAAGTATAAATACACAAGAATAGATTGTGTATCTATATAAATAATAGCAAACAATTAAAAAATTATAAAAAGATGACGCCATTTACAATAGCATAAAATATGACCTTCCCGGGAATAAACCTAATGAAAGATGTTTAAGGCCTTTCCTATGAAGCATTGCTGCGAGAAATCAAAGAAGACCAGAGTAAATGGAGAGATACATCATGTACATTGATTTGGAAGGTCACTATTAAGATTTCAATTCTCTGAAAATTGATCTAGGATTCAACGCAATCCAAATCAAAATCCCAGAATGTTATCTCTGTGTAGAAATTAAAAAGTTAAATCTAAAATATATGTGAAAATGCAAAATACCTAGACTATTAAAGACCCAAAAAGGGGGGTGAACAAAATTGGAAGACTTTACACTCTCAATTTTCAAAATTATTGTTAAATACCAATAATTAAGACAGTATGACAATGATGCAAAAACAGACAAATAAATCAGAATAGATTAAAGTCAAAATATATAAAGAATCACCTGAATTACAACAAAGACTCCACTGCAATTTAGTGAGGGAAAGAATGGTCTGGTTCTGGGTCAACAGATCTATGCTTCATATCACACAAAAATTTATTCGAAATGGATTAAGAGAAAATGTGAGAGATAAAGTAATAAAGCCTAGGAGAATATCTTAAGGATTTTTCAGAAAGACAAAGTTTTATTAATCAGGACACAAAAAATAGCCTTTACAAAAATTAACAAATTGCACTCTATAAAAATTTAAAATTTCTGTTCATCAAAAGACACCATTAAGAGAGTAAGAAAGCAAGTCACAGATTTAGAGAGGACACTCATGACACTTATATCTGACAAAAGACACATAACCAGAATATTTTTTTAATCCTACAAATTTTTTTTTGAAAAACAGACCACACTTTTTTAATGAGTAGATTAGATGTGGTGGCTCACACCCGTAATCCCAGCATTTTAGGAGGTTGAGGCAAGAGGATTGCTTGAGCCCAGGAGTTCAAGACCAGCTTAGGCAACATAGTTAGACCGTGTCTCTATAAAAAAAAGTTTCAAAAAATTAGCCAGGTGTAGTGGCACATGCCTGTAGTCCAAGTTACTTGGGAGGCTGAGAAGAGAGGATCATGTGAGCCCAAGAGGTAGAAGCTGCACTGAGCTGTGATCATTCCACTACACTCCAGCTTGGGTGACAGAGCAAGACCCCAACTCAAAAAAAGAAGAAGAAGAAGAAGAAGAAAAAAACACTC